CATGCACACAGCCTTCAGATCCCTTCTTGGCAGTATAAACTGGTTACAATCCAGAACACAATTCCAAGCATGCTACCAATTCTCAAGGTCAGCATCAGCGTCAGCAGGACCTACAATAGGTGATTGCAAGGCCCTGAACAAGCTGTGCAAACAAATCGTGACCGACCCTATGGAGTTACGGTTTTGGCCACTTGAAGGTAGTCCACGTTTAATTGCTATGCCAGATGCCGCATTCAGGAACAACAGTGACAAATCCTCTCAACGTGCCATGGTTATTTTTATGGGTGAGCAAAGAAAGGCAAAACAGAAGAACACTAAAGGCTCACTTATTTTCTTTGAATCTTCAAAGATCAAGAGAACAACCCTGTCCACAACTGTTGCCGAGTTGTATGCATTTATGAAGTGTTATGGCACTTGCCAAATGCTTAGAGGCTTGATCAAGGACATTACAGGTGACTCTACTGACATTCACATGCGCACTGATGCTAACAATCTTGTGACTACAGCTAGTACTACTCATGTTCCTGAGCAACAAGAGACTATTCATATGATCCAAATGCTTAGGAAGGAAGCATGCTCTGGTGCAATTGCTGACTTGTCACATATACGCACTCAGTGGTGTCTTGCTGACTGTCTTACTAAAAAGTCTGCTAGTCCTCAAGCTTTGATAGATGCAGTACGCAGTGGTTGTTTAAAGGAAGTTGATGCACATCCACCTTTTAGATCTCTTATTGAACACAAGGCATATTTGCGTGGATGGATTCCTACAGTACGCACACATGTTGACTTTTCACATGATGTGTTTTATCTTGGAGATTCTTTGCACTGAGAGAGAGGAGAGAATTCAATGCATGCAGTTTTGTTTTGGAGACATTTGAATCTCTTTCATGAATTTGTGCCTTGGGCTCAAATTAGCTTGGCAAGATCAGCACTTTTCTTTCGAAGACTATTGCCTTGTATCATCAACTACCTGTCATTTCTCAGACTCAGGACGCCGGCCTCTGACCGGTGGACTTTGTGTCAACAGAGATGGTCGGTCAGGGAGCGTCCAGCAGAGGTCCGCTCAATCTCCTTGAGTATGCTCAA